TATATCTACTACCACCATCACCACCACCTCGATAAAAACTGGCAAACACCCCTCCCCCTTTTGTAAAGATTTAAATCTTTCTTTATTATTTTTTTGTTGGTGCAAATGATTGTGATTGATTTATGCACAATAAAGTTTTTTTTTTTTTTTTTTTTTTTTTTAACTAAAGACTTCTCTCTGGAAACAATAACTACCTTTTATAATATTCATGTTTACTCTTCTTTCCATGTAAAAATGATGATTGATAAAGCAAAAGATCAGTAATGGTCTTTATTTTCAAATTGTGAGGATGTGATTTTTATTTTACATATTTTTTATTTGTACAAGAGCCATTTTGATGTTAATGAACTTCCAATCTGAGACCAAAATTCTGACATTTTATTAACTTTATGTGATACTTTATATTATATTTTTAAGTCAAAAGATAGGAAATTAAATTATTTTCAATATGATAAATTGATAAACTTAATACTTTTCTTACACTCATATATTATATATTTTAGTGTATGAAAAATATTGATAGTCTTTATAAACAGTTGTATATATATACATATATACATACACTATATGTAAGATATTAAAATATGAAGAAAAATTTATTACAAAATTAAACGTGATTGGAACAATCCTTTAAATTCTTAATTCTAACTGCACACATCCTTTTTCAAGACTCCATATTGCACCATGTTACATCATACTTTCCCTGCAGTAACAATGTGAAATCTTTTGCCCAAACGCTATCCAGAAGTAAAACAAAGAATTATTAAGATTATAAATAGTACTTCAAATAACTATTCATCCTGTTTTGTTCATTCACTTTTGAACTTGTGGACATTTTCCCATTGATATACCCACACATATGACATTCTGTGGACTATTGTAAAACATAAAATATGAAACAAAATTATTAAACTAAAATGCATTGGCAATAGACCTTTAAATACATAATTTTAATTAAACACATTCCCTCTTCAAAAATACATATTACACCATTTTATATCACTCTTTCCCTGCAGTTTCTCTGCACTGGGAAAAACTTCACTGCTCAGGGTTAAAACAAAGACTTTCCAAGCTTTAAATAATGCCGTGCGAGATTTTTCAATCTTTACCACATCAGCAGCAACTATGTCAATTTACTGCCAAGTGGCTTCTGATCAAATTTGCATGAGGAAAAAAAAAAAAAAAAAAGCACAAAGCATTAAGCCAACAATAAGTACTACTGCAGTTATTGCAGATCACTCATCTGCCTGAGAAAGTCATGTCTCTTCGCTAAGCTTCTCTTTCTGTTACATAAAATGTAAACTGTGTGTATAGAAATGGTGGAGCATGTTTAGCATCCCTAATGTTCTACCAGTTTAAGCAAAAATGTATTTTCTGAATAAATTTTCCTGTTCAGAATAAAAATATTATTTTAAACATCAAGCCAGTTGTGATTTTCACTCCAGTCCGATCTGTGCAACATTTTTTTCTCAGCCATGACTAAATAGTGAATTGGTTTAATGTCCTTTACTCAGCTCTCTGCTAAAGTCTATCAACGTACTACAACTGCTTACCTCTAAAATATCACATAAAATAGTAACGTAATTAGACTTAAGAATTTAAAAGACCATTCCAATTAAGTTTAATTTGGTAATGAATTTTTCTTCATATTTTGATATCTTGCATATTGCATCATGCTAGATCATGCTTTCCCTGTAAGAATCGCAGTGCAAAACATTTTGCCCAGTCACTATCCAGAACTAAAACAAAGAATTTCTAAGCTTATAAATAGTACTGCAATTCACTGCACATCCTCTTCCACAAATCTTAAGAAGCTACACCAGAAAAGTAAGAATGCACGAGCAAGTCCATTTAACATTAAGTAAATGGTTATCTCGGTAATTTGGTGAGATATCACCAAGCTGACAACTTTTTAAGTGAGAAATCGCCAAAAGTCGCTAAATTAGGCGACATTTTGGTCTGGTCCCTGTACTACCGTAATAAATATTGTAACTGAACACTATATTAGCTGCAACCTTAACTCTCATATTGCTTTCCAGTTATTTCGAGAAGCAGAAAGTACAAGAAATATCTCCAGCCAGTTGGAAACTATATAAGGCTACACAGAGACCATCTACTTCAGTTGCTTAGTTATTGTTGTTGCAAGTTGTTAGTTCCATGTGAACTAAGATATATCCGAGTTAACTTTCTCCAAAGATGCGCTTTGCATTCCGTTGTGTTTAACATTCTTAGCAGTTTGAAGTGTAACTACTTACTCTTTGATACTGTGAATATCTGTCCAAGAATTTCTGTGTAAAGTTCCAGAACTTTGAAGTGTTTCTTTTGATAAAAATAAATTTTATTAACCTATCATCGGACCTGTGTGTATTCAATTTATTATGAACCTGTACGCATACAACACTTTTTGGGTTCAGCAGCGGGGTTGAATGCCTGTGACAAGAGCAATGGAGAAGAAATTAATGACTGCCTTTGCTGCATTCCAAGAAAAGACGGAACGCACCATCAACTCTGTTAAAGTAGAGATGAAAGCTGGTTAAGAATTCATTAGAAGGCTAGATTTCAAAGCACTGTCCATGGCATTAGAGATGTGCTTCGGGAAGAAATGCTTAAAAGACTACAGCAGGCTTCAAGTAAAATCCCGTCAACAGAAGCCCATGGAAGCACTCCAGGATCTCACAACGGACGTTAAAGGCTGCCTAACCTCACCTTTTCAGAGAAACCAAGAGGAACAAGGAAATACTGTCCCTGCGGTACTTCATCGATGGCATTCCAGCTCCTGAAATATAGAAAGCTTTATGAATGGTGGATATCAATTTAAAAAGCGCTGTAGTGTACGCCATGAAATTCGAGGCAGCCCAGCAAGAAAACCAATCAGAGCTGCTCTAGTCCACGAGCCAGTGGATCAAGTAATGGCTTATTTGGATGATCTAACCAGACAAATCAATGTTTTGATATGAGAAAGGAGTGAGAAGAAACTGACTCTAAAGTGTTGGAAATGCAGTAGTCATGTAGGAAGGAATTGCAGAAGACCCCAAGCCACGGAAAATAAAACAGATAATTTGACCAGACAAGTCAGTGTCTTGAGATGGAATAGAAGTGAAAAGAAACCAATTCTAAAGTGTTGGAACTGCAGTGTTGAAGGCCACATACAGAGGAACTGCAGAACACTCCACGGCACGGAAAAAAGGCCATTTCCCAGCAATGACACAAGAAATAAATTAATGGTCATATCGCAGAGAGGAATTGGAAGGATAATGAGAAGCCCCATTTCAAAATGCTTCAGATTTTTGTAATGAGTGGCAGCAGTTATGGACTCTTCATCATGGTACATATCAATGAAGCTCCCTGCAATATAACCATCAGTACATGAGCCAATATTACCATCATCCGAAAAGATTTGGCTCAACAACTGGAAGGTAAACTGATCTGGGTACTGTACTGCATTACTCATAGATTGTGTTCGGCAAAAACATTAACTTCACCTCTGGAAGTTATTCCTACCATCACATGGTGTGTGTGGCAAAGATAACAGACCATTACATACTCGGATTGGACTTTCAAAGTAAATACAATTTTTCCTTGGACTTTAAAAATGGACACAACATTATTCAGAATTAGTGATGAAGGAATTAGATCTCTCCATGAAATCATAGTTCAAGATATCACAATATCGGCAAGAACAGAATTTCTACTTCCTGGATCTATAGCCAAAAAGATAAATTTCCAGTATGGTGTAATGAAATATCTCAAAAACTGTACACCCTGTGAAGAGTACTAGTAGCCTCGACTCTCGTTGGCTTATCAAGGACAGTTATTTCGGCGAGAGATGCTAACGTCAGTTATAAACTGAAAATCGTCAGGAAAGGTGAAGTGGTTGCAGCATGTACTCCAATGACCAGCATTAAATGCAACAGTAACCCTCTGGAATCCATGTCTTCAGAGAGCATTACATCAGAGTTATTGCAGAATGCACAATTGTACGATGAAGAGCGTTACCAAACGTGTCATTCAAGAATCTCAAGATGTCTTCTTTCACTCGTCTTCTGACGTGGGTGGAACCAGTTTGACACAGCATAGAATCGATACTGGTGATTACCTGACGAGTAAGTAACATCCAAGACGTCTGCCAATTGCTGAACAGGAAGAGGTAGGAAAACTTCTAAAGGACATGCAAGAAAGCGACGTCATTGAGAAGCAGAAAGTACTAGAAATATCTCGTCAGCCAATTGAAAACTACGTAAGGCCAGAGAGAGAGAGCATCTACTTTGAGTTGCTTAGATATGATTGTTGCAAGTTGTTGGTTCTGTGCGAACTGAGATATATCCGAGTTAGCTTTCTCTTTAGATGCACTTTGCATTGCATCCTGTTTAACGTTCTTATTAATTTAAAGTATAACTACTAATCGAACTCTGTGATACTGTGAACGTCTGTCCAAGAATTCCTGTAGAAAATTCCAGAACTTTAAAGTGTTTTTTTTTTTTTTTATTAAAATTAAATTTTATTAAGCTATCATCGGACCTTTATTATGGTCTTTAAAAAATTACTGGACGAAAATGGTCAATATATTCTTCAGTAAAATATTCATATATTATAAGAAAATTGTCCCGCCCCCAAAAGAAAAAGTGAAATTATTTTGCAAATCACACACTACATATATTGTTTTATTCTAAAAGGAAGGGGAAATAAAATTTAATGACAGATACAGTCTTATGAAGTAATAATATGGAAACTGATTGTCATACTCCAGTGAAAATTTAAGTACAATTTTCATACATCAGTTAATTTAGCACTCTTTCTGGAGATGATTAAGTCATGAATAAATTCAATTTTCCTTTTATAATTTGTTGAAAGTTTATTTCAAAATCAGTTTAAATACTATTTCTTTAGGGAAGATCATCAATTTAATATTTGTTTGGAAAGGGAAGTAAAAATCTGTATAATTATGCAATTTCTTTTCTTAGTATCTGAAAAATGTAACAATTCCACTTTTTTCTTTACAGATCAGGCTTTGATTGATGAAGAAATCAATAGATTAAGGGATAATTTAAAGCCAAAGGTTGAAAATTTGAGAAATTTAGAAGGCAAACCTCCATCTAAGTTCAATCTAAAACCCCTCAGCAAAGATGAACTTAATGCAATGAAAAGAATATTAAATCCTGTTTAAATGTACAATATTTATTTTGAATTTTTCTTTTGTATATTTTTTGGTTTTGAATGATTATATACATAGTACATTCAATATCTGTACAAATATGTTAAGCAGCTGAGACAGTTGAAAATATTTGTAAATTTTGGTACACACTTTCAGAATAAATTCTTATGTAAGATATATATTCAAAATTTTAGAATTTTTTAGGAAATACTTATTATTTTCTTATAAAACTGTATTATCCTTTCTTAAAATACAATGATAAACACTAACAATGTGCAAGGTATGTAAAAAAGTTTACAGACTAGTGACACAAATTTTAAACTTATACAGTAATTAATTAGAACAATGAGTTATTTTTTAAATGGCTTACTATTTAAGATTAAAATATTTAAGTCCAGTAAAATTCTGTTTGAATAATCAGCAGAATTTTGTGCTTCATTTTGTATGTAATTCATTCAAATTGTATGTAAAACAATGTATAATTTTACGCAGAATTTCAACACATGGTGCCCTTGTATCCTAATATTTAGCCCAAGAGTTCTTAAAACCAAAGATCATATTCAGGGGGCATACACAAAAGGAAGAACAAAATATTTGCAATGTATGTAATTAAAAATATCCATTTTTTTTTAAAAAAAAAGGTTTCTCGTAAATTTCAAAGATAATGTTCTGCTTGGTTTTAATAATAATAATAATAATAATAATAAAAGACTGTCAAATTATAAATAATGTCAAGTAATCAGGAATCCAGTTTACAAGGCTTTATTATATATTAACTCTTTTATATTCTTAGATTTCCCTTCTCTAGGAATGGAATTTGATTCTGCTTGTGATTTATTATGATATTCTTACTATTTATTGCTTGAGAGTATTTGTAGACATATTTTATTTTGTGATACTTAATAATTTAGACATTGGAAATACACTAGTTTTTACTATATACTTTTTTTTTCTTTTTTCCTGTTGTCTTATTTTTGCTATTTTAGTTTTAGGTAAACAAGCCTATTCATTTTTGCAAATTAAATCCCTTATTAATCTATAGCAATTTACTCTGCATTTTTAACTTATTGTTTATCTTTAAATTTGACTGCAGCTTTAAGCATAACAAGGGTGTAATTTGTTTCATTTAATACTTTAATAGTACCATCCGATTAGTTCTAAAAACTAAAAATGAATAATATAACCCCTCCTCCAAGAAAAACGAAAAATGGGGTTGAGGTTTGTTTAATTTTGCAAAATACATTTAAGTGAATAATATTTTAAAATAATACAGAAAACAGGCTTTATTAGTAAAGAAGGAAAGAAAAAACACATTAAAACCTTACATTATACATTATGTTTAGTAATTTCAAAAACTCTCACTATTTATTAAAATTAGCCAGCTGCCTAAAATAAGAAAAGAAAAATATAGTGATCTAGCTAATGAAATTTCAAAAGTCCGCCTAATAATTAATTATAACTGAAATTAATCTGCATTTAATGCTTTTAAATCATTTAATTTGTTAATAACAGAATAAATTTGAAGGAAAAAAAATCTTATCTTTGCTGAATGACAACACACTGTTGCATATTTGGTTAATGGCAACATATTTCTTTTAAAATGTTCAATTTGTTGATTGAATTTGAAGGACAAAAATGTTGCATTTTCTGAAAGCTAGTGGAGAGCTTTTATATTACTGAGTTTTTGATGAAAAGTTCTGTTTGAAGTAAACTATCTATTTTAGTATAGTAAACTAATCAATTAACAGTAGGAGATTTTCACATTAAAAAAAAAAATTACATAATTTACCTTAACAAGTCAACTGAAAAAAGTATTAATAAATAATTAATTCGCGACGAGTTTTTTTTTTTTTTTTTTTTTTTTTTTTTACACAACAGTACAATTTTGATAACAAACTATGAGTAGGACACTCTAGAATGATAAAAATTAAGATGCTATATTTTTGTTGTTACTGGCAGATGGTCACCAACATTGAGTAAGCTTTGTGATGTTTTGGATGGGCGTCCAGTTCCTGTACGGCGTTGATACTGTGCGTTGAACTTTCCAGATGCCATCAAGGCTTCTGCAAAAGGTACAATGAAATCAAGAAGTGGGGTTTTTCGATGTTTGAGTTCGCAGTACGCAATCCATGGGTTGACAACTGCGCTCATCAATAGGCGAAAAAATACTTTTTTCCACCACTTGCAGATTTTCGATCTCAATTCATAGACATTGCCATTTGATTTGCAAGTCTACACCTCCCATGATTTTTGTTGTAGAATTCGATTGCCACAGGGCACTCAAATTCTTCTTTGCTTCCATCTTTCATGGTTTGCGATTTACTTTAGTGTATTTAGCTTCGTGGCAATTACTTAGCATCATCACTTCCTTTGAAACAAGCCACCTCGCACACAATGTTCCATTTTTAGTTACGAGAAACTCAGCCTCACCCCTTTTGCTTAGTTTTGTTGCAAAATTAGGAACATCTTTGCATGTCTTGTTGCATGTACCAACAGCAGGAAATTTCAGGGTTTCCATCAGGTGCACACTTGTAAAAAATCGGTCAAATGCAGGCATCACGTCTTTACCTCAGATTGTCTCCGTTAGCTTTGATACTACCTGTTTCCCGAGTGTGCCTTGAACTTCACCCGTTTCTTTTCCGGAATAAATGTTTATGTCATATACATATCCTGTTTTTGAATCAGATCGCTGCCAAATTTTTATCCCTATTTTCACAGGTTTCATCGGCATATATTGTTTCAGGGATTGAACGTCCCTTGAATTTCGCAGTTGATTCATCAATAGCTTAATATGAGCTTTCGCTGCGGCACTGTTTGAAGGTTTGTTTCAGGCAGGAAACAACCTCGTCAATATAGTATGTTTTACTTGCATTTTCTGGCTTTTCTGGATGCAGCAAAATATAGTTTCGACAGCAACGTTATACATCTGTCTCTTGAAATAGCATTTTTTATTGCTATGTTTTCCAAAGAAGGATTAGATGACCAATAATGAGAGAATTTCGGCACCCTATTGTAAGACATGACAAGCATGCATCCAAGGACAAGCATAATTTCAGAGGGGTCTGTAGGGTGAATTGTTTGTCCTAACTTTTCGAGTCGTTGGCTTGTGCATTGAGAGATCCAAATCATAAGACTTTTTGGAAATATCTTCAGAAACACGTCGTATTCGGTAGCTGAACGATTTAATTTGAATAACAAACTAGGCGATGACTCTACTGGAATTGTCATTCGAGGTTGGAAAGTTGAATCTGCATGAAACCATAAGATTGGTTTGCTGCCTGAAGCATTAGCTGATGGTATCTCATCAACTGATGAAAGTGATGCCGTATCAGTATCTCTCAAAGCACCGCTGTTCTTTGTATTTTGGGGAATGGTATCATGATCGATATCCATTTCACACTCGTCTGAATCGGATGAGTACTGCACATTGTGTGTTGGATCTTGAAAATCGGGATCGTCTATTTCATCATCCAAATCAATATCTTCGTCATCTGACTCTTCTAAAATGTTTTTGATTTCTTCATTAGTAAGTCCCCGGCGTCGAGTCATTTTAAATTCAATTAATATGTGCCTAAATTAAAAATAATAAGCAACTATTTCAAAAGTAACCAAAAAATATAATATATAGAGAAATGATCACATAGGATTGTTGGGACAATGTGTTCCCACTATCCAAGACGAGAGGGACACATATGTCCCGATAATAAAAACGGAAGTAAAACTTTGCCACTTACCAGTTTATTAGAGGTAATCCGCTTCGTGAGTAACTTATCTGGCCTTAGATTTATGGATAAATCAAAATTTAATCGAAAATAGGCGGTATTTTCCAAAACTAAACTATTTATGTTCGTAGAGTATGGAATGAGCTGCTACAAGTATCTAATTTTACTAGTTCTAGAACAATAAATTTACTAAAGAATAATGGGTAGCCACACATCATCCTTTCGAACTTTAAAGTTAGCTATCATTGAACCATGATGGTAGATCCAGTCTAATTCGCACCATTCGTTACTGAAAAATTTTGAAGAAACTGAAACCTGTTTACTTAACAAACAATCTGTATTCAACCTGCTGCATTTTTTCGCTTCTTTCTACTGCTTTGTTAGGCCCTCCAATTTTACTGGAAACAGTTTAGAATGCTATAAGCACAAACTTCCAGCAGATAATAGTTTCAATCTATTACTGTTTTGTCATCCATATTCAGCTGACCATATTGTGTCCATTAATACATGCTTTTTTATAGTTAGGTCCCATAAATTTAAAGGTAATCCACTGCTTGTTATTCTGTAAAAGACAGTTTCCAAATTTAAATAATTGATTTTCAAAGTGTAAGAAAAAAATACAGCAGTAACAGTTAATTTACATGTTTGTCATAAAAACAAAGCATGGCCTTTTGAGAATCAATAGGTGTTACATCAAATGGAAGTGCAGACATTATAAATGTGATGTTACATCGTGCGTACTCATGACTGGTGTTAAATCGTGCTGCTAGACGACAGAGTCCTGGTTAACTAGATAATATGTAAGAACCAAATAATATAATGTAATTCGAAAATTTAGAATTAAATAATTCTCTGTTTATAGAATGATTTTGAATAATAACAAACATTTGTTTGTTTATAAATTTGAATTTAATCAAGTCAGAAAATTGTCATTTTGTATTTGCATAGTAACTGATAAATTATATAATGAACAATAAATTAATTAGTGGTTTCCTTTCATACTTTGAAAAAAAAACTTTTAGAAAAATTTAGATCTACATTTCATTTTAATAATTTTGGGTTTTCAAAATCGCTCTAGCTCCTACTGAATAAGCCTGGAATGCTTATATCATACTTTAACAAAGGTAGATATTTTAAACATAATAAATGCAATACATTTAATACTGTGAAAGTCTGCTATTATGATACAGTAGATAATTTTATATTAATTGATATTTAATAATCATAAAATATATAATCAAAATATAATTTCATATATCCAATCATTTAATATTAGTTTTATATGAGCTGCAGTCTTGAAGCTCTTAATAATAGCAACATAACATAAGCATAATAATACTAACATATATTAACATAATACAGTCAAATACCTGAAATCCGCATTGCCTCTTGGAACATAAACTTTTCGGAACTTATAAAGGAGTTTATAGTTTCCGGAAACCACAACATTGAGTACGAAATATCGAAGAAAAAATACTTAGCAAAAAATGATGTCAAAATTACCAAATAATAAGGAGTCAAACGAAAATACCAAATTATTGATATAACAAAGTTAAAAAAATAAAATAAATAAGTTTTTTCCCCTCTTATCTGCATCGAGGTAAAAAAGCAGATGATTCACCCAACTCTTTGTTCAAGTTCACGATTCACGTTGTATTTTCTGAGCTTTGTTATTTCATTTCACGAGATTGTTTAGTGCTGCCTTTTTTTTATCCATATATTTTGTGGATAAATTAAGAATATTTTTAATTTCAGCCCTTTTTAATAAAATGACAGATAAGAAATGCACTTGTGATTTTACTGCTTGCAACGTTGAAAAACATAAACACGTTGCATTGACGGTAACACAAAAAGTGCAAATTCTGCAAAAGATGGAAGCAGGTGCTACTCCTCGATTTATAGCAGAATGGTATGGAATTGCGACACGATTGTGTATGATATACGGAAAAATAAAGAAAACTTGTTGAAATTTTACAGCAACAGTGATTCCGAAACCGGAAATCTTTGCAATACAATCAATTTATATATGTAATAATAATTTAATGCATATAATAAATTATTGCAATAATGTATATAATAATTTAATTAAATGCATCTAATACGCCTTATTCATTTTGCACTTTTAGTCCGAATATTATGCTTTATCTTTTCTGTCCTGAAATCCGCATAATTCTAAAATCCGCACAACCTCTGATCCCAAGCTTTGCGGATTTCTAGAATTTTACTGTAATAGAAAATGCAATACATTTAATACAATGAAAGTCTGCCATTATGATACAGTAGATAAGTTTATATTAATATAATAGATGTTTAATAATCATAAAATATGCAATCAAAATATAATTTCATATATCAAACATTTAATATTGGTTTTATATGAGCTGCAGTCTTGAAGCTCTAATCATATGTATAATGTATAAAAATCAATGTATAATAGTTTTTTGAGTAAATTTTAATCAAATCTATAAAAATATACTGCTCATTTCAACAACGCACAACTTTTACATTTTATAAATTACTTTTTTTGTAATTTATAATTTCATATACAGTAAGTTCCAGTAAAAATTTCTTTTTCATAAATGAAATAGTTACTAAAAAAAGAGAACGGATGACCTATATTTTAAAATATTGCATTAAAATCATATTTTATATACAATCACATTCTGGTTTGAATATTTTGGATATTGCAGAAGAGCTTATTTAAAATAACATACTTTAAGAACTTCATTATGATTATTTTTTATCAACACCCCTGTTGCTAATATACCACTGTGGCAAAATTCTGTACCTTGGAGAAGGGTTAATTATTTTTTCACAGTAGACTGTTCCTTCACCTTTATAATGAAACTTGTAGACAACACTGGAAAACAAATGTAATGTCATAAAATTACATTCATATATTACAGTCAAAAGTCGTTAATCCGGACTCGTCGGGACTTCGACGATTCCGGATTTTCGATTTTTCCGGATTATAGATCATCAGTTTAAATCTGGTAAAATGGCATGCAGAAATTATAAAATTAAAAATATGAAACCGTAATTTACGAAATAAAGAACAATTATGATCTAAAGGGTATCAAAATTTACAAAAAAAAAAAAAGCTTAATATTTATTTGTTTACTTTATTAAACATTTCTTTCAATGTAAGTTGTTTAAGTTGCTTCGTTTTTTATGTGATAATACATTCTCTTTAATTCTATAAACAGACATAATTTCTTGTTCAGTTACAAAGTTCCGCTGTTCAAGTCCTATAATTGCTGTGTCGAGAATACCGACTAATTTGTCAATCGAAATTTTTTCGTTTTCAATAACCTCTGTCACTTTCTTCGCTATCGGAAGCGAATTATAATGACGAGGCATTTGATTTAAATCATATCAAAGACGGAGTACATCGAGATGAAATACTACATTTAGTAAGCAATTATAAGCCAAATAAAATAAAAACATCTGCCCTGAAGATAAGGATAGTGCTGACAGATCAACTTCCAATTCATTGCGCGCCGCCAGCGTTAAAGATAAACAAAGTTAAGATAAACAAAGGATATGCCTCTATCCATTTTTTGCAGCAATTCCACTTTTTGTTTAATGGACTCCGAAAGATACTTTCGCTTTGTATATCCTTTACATATTAGTAAATATATATCGGAAATTCTATTTGACATAATCGAAAGTTCAAGCTTACTTTTATAAAATTGCTCTAACAGTCTGCAAAAAATAATAAGCCGGATCCAATTCGAAGATTAAGGAACAACGCAATCTGCAACATTAACTGAAATAGATAATTAGATAATTTTAGCTTAGCTTATACCGTCCGTTATACATTAAACGCGCATTCGTAAACGTATTTTGCGCACGCGCACACGCAAATTCGCAGCCGTAAAGGTCTTACGCGCATGCGTCGCATTGATGCATGCGCACAAAGTTTGTAGCTTTGAGGTCCGAATTAACGACTTTTGACTGTATATTTTGTTATTGTTTAACCTTTCGTCATTTAGGGAACACCAATTGAATTTCGAAACCTTTAAATTTAACCGTAAATAAAATGCCTTTATAATATACTTTGAACTTTTCTTTTTAAACAGTAGATAGCAGCATATCACAAGGAGACACAGAATTCTCATTTATTATGTGTTATTAAAATCCACTTTTTTCAAGTAATTTTCTCTATTCTTTTAATGATATAAAAAATTTTATTTGAAAAAAAAAAATTAGGCATAATTTTGCTGGCTTAACTCCAAATTATCTGTTCTATATATATTTTTTTTAATCTTTCAGACAAAAACAATACGCAGAATCATTGAATAAACCCGGGTGTTCCATTAACAGGAACACTGCATCTAGCAATCTCATGCTGTTACGAATCAGAACATCTGTGCTTAGGAGAGAACATCCGTTGTTTACGTTGCTTTGTGGGGAGGGGGAATGAATTCAAACAAAGCACTATTGAGGGGTGAGGCGTGTTTTGTGTTATGAAAGCCCTAATATTGGCATCTCGAGTTTTTTGGGACTAGTTTTTAGGCAGGAATTTTATTAGTAGCTTGACTCATCTTTACTTAAACCTGCACAAATTTTTTGCTGTCGCTTTTTAGTCTCATTCCCGTTTATTTTCAATGATTGTGTATATATTTTTCGTGTATGTATATATCATAGGTTTATTTTTCTTTATTGTTAATATTAATCGTAGTTAATTTTTTTATTATTAATTTTCCATAAATGGTGCGGAGAGGTCTAATTCTTTCTGAAAATTTGTAAATATTTTTGTATATAGGACTTGTGTATATAGATATTTATCTCATTTATCCGTATATATTCAAGAATTTTGTGTATATCCAGGAAAACATGTATACAGCCATAATACAGAGTTTTTTCATTCTTATACAAATGCTTCTACTCGTTTTCTTGCTTCACTGCAATGTTCGCTTAGTCGCACTTTTAAAAGCTCTGCCGGCGCAGTGTTCCACCTCATGGAACACCTACAGAATTAAAACGGTAAGTGCATCTTTTACAAAATTTTACCTGTATACTCCTTTAGGACTAAATAGACTGCATACAACTTTTTGTTGTTGAAATTCCGACGTTAACTTATAGTGCGCCGCAAAGGGTTAATAAATATCTTAATATTAGATCTGAAAATATACAAAAGATTGAAAGATAATCCCGAGGTAAATTTCATTTAAAAGACTCATAAATATCACAAATCAAAGGGATAAGACTGATAATATAGATGGGAAAAATATTACGAAGTACAGTCAAAAGTCGTTAATCCGGACTCGTCGGGACTTCGATTCCGGATTATAGATCATCAGTTTAAATCTGGTAAGATGGCATGCATAAATTATAAAATTAAAAATATGAAACCATAATTTATGAAATAAAGAACAATTATGACCTAAAGGGTATCAAAATTTACAAAAAGAAAAGGCTTAATATTTATTTGTTTACTTTATTAACCCCTTCGTGCCAACTGTCATGTATACGTGCCAGCAACGAACACACTTATCTACCGTCCGACACGCAGGCCAGAGCATTGTTGCGTTTACTACCGACTGTCACATATTTGTGCCAGTATCTTGGAACGTTTTTCAAACTATAATTTCTGCCACAAGATGGCACTGTATCTCTGTATGGTTTCAGATACATGTACATTAGACCTTCTACTCGAAATGAGAGAAGCATGACTCACATACACGTGTTTTTGATTATATAAACATACGGGGAACTAAATGTGTCCGAATGGCATGAATTATGACGTCTCTTTAAATCGCACTTTATTCGCACGTGGTAGTTGTTTATTGTAAGTAGAAGTTTTATATGCGCTAAAGCGTTGAGTATTTCGGTTTACAGTTCAGTTTTTAGAAAATAATTAGATCTTGTTAGACGTGAATTCTTTCTGTTTTTATTGTTTCAATGTCGAAGCGTCGAAAATGTTTAACAGTGCATGAAATAGCAGAAATGATGCAAAATATTTCAGATATTGATTCTGAAATTCTGATATTCTGATATTGATTCTGAAAGATTAACTGAAAGACATTTCCAAAACTTTGTTCAGAAGAGACTGATAAGAAAATGAGACGATGATGCTTCGTTTGTTCACATTCCCGGAAAAATCCTCCAAAACGGCAAATGAGTTATTACGAGTTCAAGGAATGTAACGTAGGAAAAAGTCATAAAATGGTGAGTAATTAAAATAAAATGTGTAAAATATGCATTTAAACAAGAAATAAGGTAATTAAAGTATATATATAAAAATATCTATAAAGCATAAGCCATTTAAATACTCTATAGAGCATTATTAAACAATTTGTTGATACTTCGGAAATTTCATGGATTTAGGCTTAGTAGCAAAAAAGCCCCCGGCCCTGGAGAGACGCTCGAGGAAGACACTGCCGGCCTCCGCGATAAGCGCGCGTTTTCGCTACCCGGCTCAAAGGGGTTAAACATTTCTTTCAATGTAAGTTGTTTAAAATGCTTTGTTTTATGTGATAATACTTTCTCTTTAATTCTATAAACAGACATAATTTCTTGTTCAGTTACAAAGTTCCGCTGTTCAAGTCCTATAATTGCTGTGTCGAGAATACCGACTAATTTGTCAATCGAAATTTTTTCGTTTTCAATAACCTCTGTGTCACTTTCTTCACTATCGGAAGCGAATTATAATGACAAGGAATTTGATTTAAATCATATCACAGACAGAGTACATCGAGATGAAATACTACATTTAGTAAGGAATTATAAGCGAAATAAAAACATCTGCCCTGAAGATAAGGATAGTGCTAACAGACCAACTTCCAATTCATTGTGTGCTGCGGTTTATTACAAGTTTATTAAAAGGCACATCAAAAGTTTTCATTATGGAATCTAATGCATTTTTAATATCAACACCGCGGGTTGGCTCTTGAAGTGCTACTAAATCTAATAATTCTTCTTTAACAACGAAGTCAGGTGAAACAAAAGTATGAAAACAATTGCGGAAGATCTGTGATATTTGCAATTCGTCAAGGGCTAAGCTGAATACAGTTCTTCAAATCATATTTTAAGTTATATTCAAGACATGTATTAAATGCAGTTATACGTGGTTCGGTTGTGTGTCTCAAGATGGGAATTTGCGAAACATCTTTGTGCAATGCTGCATTATTTGGATCTAAAACTTTAAGTACATCTTCCAAGTCTTTTTTTAAATAAACTCTCCATCTCTATATGGGTGTTTTGCACGAGCAGTATTCCAGGCAATAACAAAACTGGCTTCAGCCACATTATTAGCTTGATTGCTAAAGGTAATCAAAATTGACTGTTGTGTATTTAAATTTGATTTTAAAAGAAGCAAGTTTATCTAATCTTGGTGGATACTGATTAGAAAACTGAGAATGATTGGTTTCATAATGTCGACGTAAAGTGCTAGCTTTATAATTTTTTACCGTAGAATTATAAATAACACATAATGCTTTTCCGTTATTGTCAATAAAAAAAATTTCTCCTCCCACTCATTATTAAAACTTCTATTTTCTTACTTGTATTTTCTTTTTTATTTTCGTTCTGTGTCGTCATATTTTTAAAAGAACTGGAAATGATAAAAGAAATTTAGAAAATGCAAGTTTTGTGCTATTAAAACAATAACATGTGTTACATACTACAAAACAAATTATAGTTAACTTACCAAAAATTCCAGATCACAAATTATATCCGTAGCAAGAGTGATACAAATTGTTTCCTCCAGAGCAAAATGTCAATGGTCTGTTGCAATGAAAGTTTACAAATTCAAAATTGGTCTGGAGTCGTTCGATTACGTAGATCGTAATTCATCGAGAAGCAATCGGCCGGACAAGGCCTTGACTCCCATATGTTTCTTATAATTCGTGAGGCAGTTGAAGGGGAAGAAAATCCGATGAACAAAACTGTTATGCCATGGTTTATGTTTGTTTGCGCAGTTTTCGATGAGTCATATCATTCTTGACTTGGATGGAAATGAAATTTTTTACAACATTGCACTTAGTCTTTCATATTTGTTGTCAGTAGTTTAAAAGACATTTTGAAAACACATACGGAACGATAATAGTTCTTGTAAATATAATAACACAAAAATGAAAAGGGGACTCTGGTACATTTATCGAGAGGCAAAAATAATCCTTCAAAGAGGCATGTGGCTCGCGAGCTGCAGGTTGGCCATCCCTGATATAAACAATAGTAATTAATCTAATAAAAACAGAAACTTTTAGGAAACATATTGATCTTTATTTAATAGAATAAGAAGTGTTCAAAACTTTTGCACAAATTTCTTTTAATGTGTTAATGCTATATTATTTATAAAGAATTTATAAGCTATTGTATTTATAAAATACATATACAAATTTTTGGTGCCTATAAAATTAAATGTCAAGTGCAACAAATTATGATTAGTTTTTGGTGTGTGTTGTAGTCAAATTTAATTGGATTAACTTTGTAAAAGAATTTAATCTTCTTCATTATATACCACTTGAAAAAATATTATTTTCAGATACTAGAAACTAAGAAAAAATGCATTTTTAAAGTGCTTAATTTTTCATTTTAATAAAACTTATCAATAATCTAGATCGGTATGAATTTTTAAATGAATATTCAGACAATTGAAACACACATTTCTGCCCCTCAGTCATGAGTAAAAAATGGCTACAAACAAATTCTTTCATGCTTTATTTGTTATTTATTATTCTGCAGATATTTACTGATGAAAGACATTGCTCTATCTTGACTTTTAACAAAAATACTTTTCCCCCTTAAATTTAGAAAAAGATTTATAATATTGATATGTTTGAAAATATAATTAAAATTGCGATAGTAACATAGTCGCAAATCCATAATCATCTTTAATAATGGCACATTTTGAAGCTTGTTTTTTTTACGGTCATTTATTCATTATTAAATAATTAATGCAACAATTTATCAATATTAAAATTATGTAGATTTTACTTTTTTCAATATAATTGGATTAGAAAGACAAAGGTATACTTTAGCTTAGGAATATATCATGTTTTAATGCAGTATGCAAAGAATGAATTTTACATAGCAGAAGAATATTTCTAACTGGTAGAACTGAGTGAAAAAAGGAAAGAAATACTGGTACATACTTAGGGTTATCTTCTGTAACAGTTCTTTTAAGAAAGGTTAGGAATTTATCACAAAAGTGTATACAAGTATCTGGTGACCAAAGACCCTAAAAAATAAAAGTTTTATCCATATAATATCACATACTTCAGCAAAGTTCAATGTTATTGTATTTGATATAGATAAATGTTATTAATAAGATTAAGTTTCAAGTAAATTACCTTAACGTCATTAGGAATGCTACTGACTCTGAATATTTTTAATGAATTCACTATTCCATTGTCATTCCTCATTCCACATATTATCTCAGGAATCCCAGCTAGTAGTGACTGTGCCCACCATGCAACCAATTTGAACCTTTTAAAAAAGGCAGGAATGTTCTTAAAAGTCAGACAATAGCTTCATTTCTCATAAAAAGATAAATGAGATAGATTTCATAAATAATTTCACTGATTAATTTTTCATAGATTAATTCAAATTAAAAAATAATGTACAGAATTTTATATTGAAATACTGAACAAAATCAGCATGCAGTATGAACTGTCTGTTACACAAGCACACAATGTGCATGTTACACAAGCAATTTTATACCTGCGAAAATTATAATCCTGTGCTATTGAAGTGAGAGACCTTGACGTCTTTAATTCAGTATAACAAGTAGTATCACCTGAACCTGGTCTGGGAAAGCGATGTGGAACCACAGCATCAATTTCAGCTTTGTATAATAAACTGTGATTATTCAAAATATTTTCTAACATTATACAGTATTCTTCTAGTTGATGAGTTGTAGACCAGATATCTGGATTTCCATCTATGGTATCTGAAGCAAGGAAAATAAAAGTCTTAACTGAATATTTGAAACAAATTGTTAGATGTTAAAAAATCACAGTTTTTAAATTGGAAAGAATTTTTCATAAGGTCAGGGAGAATCAGAATGTTTAAAAAAAAAAAAGGTCAGGGAGTTAAAAAGAGAACAGATCAGTCTTTTCAAATAATAAAAGATTCATGTATACAATAAACAAAAATTGATGCTCTTAAAAAGAAGGCAAATGGAGTATTAATTACAGTCATTTTCTTGCAGGAAGTATTTTACACATCTCACATTTAATGCAATTTTATTAATGTGTAGCTGTCTTCTTTATATCACAGCGAGCTGTTCATCCCTCTTCTATTTTAGAAATGTTACTGTTCTACTACTCTTCCTTGAGTGATTTACCTTCTGGCACAATCTTCCAGTATAAAAAGTGCAGCTACGAAATCATAAAACTGTCTGATAGTGTATTATGATAAATAACTACATTAATTATACATTTTTCTTTTTCCAATCCAGTGTGATTCTAAGCCACTCAGTTTTATTTTAAAGTTCCAAAAGCATAATGTCTATAGAAATTTCTTTTGCAGAATGAAGAGAATTTTCCAAAATTTGATATTTCTTTTTAAAAACCTCACTTACATTTTAAAGTGATTAAAGATTGACATATTTTTTTTATATTCTTTATTTTGCTTCATGATAATATGTAAGATACATTATTTTATTCTATTGTAAAGATTTGCATTTTATTTTATGTTATTCGTTTTTTTTTTGTTGTTGTTGTTGTTGTTGTTGTTGTTGTTTGTTTGTTTGTTTTGTTTTGTTTTGTGTGTGTAAATGGCACAAGAAAATATTTCTACAAATTTTTTAAAATCATAGTGATTTATGATTTTAAAAAACAAAAAAGTGTTGCTTCATATTTCTGGAACATCATGCCCTCTATATTTTTGGAATTTCCCATGTTCATGTTTTGCAAGCATTTATGGTAAAAAAATGAAATCTCTTTGTTTCAAGCTAAAATATTTAACAGATTAGAAAAGAATTTCAAAATATACCCCAACAAGACAAACAGTGGCTAAAAATGATACATTTTTAAAGATTAATTGATGCAAAGAAAACTCAATACCAAAACTACAATTGCAAAAATGCTAACAGAAGTAGTTGTAGAACACACTACGACAATTGCATACTATGTATATCATTTACATCTTTTCGTGGTTCCTATCTTTTCCACTAAAAATGGATTGTTCCAGTAGGACAATGCTCATTGTTACAAGGTTGGAACCATGCTACAGAAATTTTAGGAACATGCTGATGAATTCTAGATGATATCTTGCTCTCCTGTCTCACCACATATCAATCCTATTCAGCATATCTGAGATGTCATAGAGTGCTAGCTCAAAAAACATGAACCATCTCCTCATAATGTATAGAAATGATAAGAAATTTGGAAATCTAATACAATCTTCCTCTGGACACTTACCAAGGACCTGCAGAATCCATGCCATGATGGGTTAGAACTATTTTACATGTCCATTACATAATATTTTGGCTGATCAGTGTATGAACATGCACTAAGTAACATAGATCAGATATTGTTCTATTTATGAAAATCACATTTATTATAGTATCAATGGTAATACTATAATATTTTGCCTCCATTGTCAGGTTTTCTTTTCTGATTATTTTTATTTTTTACTTAATAATGTAAAATATCAAAAGTATAAGACATAGTTTATATACATCATATATATACAGTATATGCTAGCTTGAAGAGATTCACATTTTAGGTAAACATACTTACATATAACATACCTGTTGTCATATATTGTTCAAATTTGTAACCCCATGATTGGCACAAAAGACATTTTAGACTGGCATTTGTTTGTTCTGCGTTATCTATATCTGTATCTATTGCAGAAAAGTAAATAGTTCCATTAAATTTTGTTGCACATATTTCCCACTGACTATGAAATGAACCTTTAGCATATGGAGTACACATGACCAAGACGAGAGTTCCACGTACTGTGATAAAATCCACATGTGACCTAAGTATTAAGAAAATTAGTAAAGTAAATATCTGGTATAATTTGATAAGATCTTTAAAATACCAAAATTTAACAAAATATTATAAATTTTTTGAGATAATTTTTTTTAAAAAAAACTGGAAGACGAATTACAATACATATACAGATAAACCTATATAAAAAAAATATATATAATACTTTCAACCGTTATATGAATAACGCACATGTCTGTTTTGACTCGTGCACAATGCTGATGTTGCCATAGATGATGATGTAATTCTCTGACATTTTTGAAGTAAAAACAGATCACTGTGTTCATGGGAATAACAATGGCACAAAAAATGATAGAAAGATTTCTTTAAAAAGGTGAATGTTTTATTAACAAATTTTTTGCTTTTTCTAATTTTGTTGATTGATTGCTCTTTCAAGAGATTCTTAGTATGCTACCATTTTGAGAATGGCTCTTGCCTTTGATGAAAATCTAATTGTCGGGTTCCTGAATACTCCCCAAAGTTGCTAACAAATTTGCTGTTTTTTAGTGGAGGTGTGGGTAATTAGTTAAATTGTATTAATTAGTGAATTTTTTAAATATAATTAGTTTACTTATTAAGTTGATTATCATGGTAATAATAAATGCTCTCAAAAAATCTTCATACACCAAGCTAAAAATAGTTTTAATAATGGTACAAATATCTGTGAATAATATGAACCTGTTTTCAATTATAAAAGTTGGCACTTGCATACTAACGCAGCCGCTTTAGCACAATTTGGTAAACTTTACGGTAAAAAAAATGATGACTCAAAAATATAGAAATAATTTTGCACATATATACATATTTTATATTTTAACTATGTATTTAACTCAAAAAATCATCACTAAACCTACTTATGAGTTCTTTTTTTGGAGGGGGGGTAGAAATTTTGTGATCACTTTGAGGAAAGATTTAAAGCAGTTATCTTCTTTAGTGATTTTGCAGTGAAACAACATATCCCTTCAGAAATATTACAACAGTTTCTCTTATACTGTAAGCAAATTTCACAGGCACATATTTAAAATTAAGCTTTAAGACAACAAGTGTCATGATTTACATATATAAACTCTTAGAACCTGGGATATAACACAAAGAATACATACTAAATTGTTATGAAAACTGTGTCGTGCATGGTTGCTAAAGTTTGGTACATTCTGAAACTTTGGTGATTTCTACTAAAATAGTTGCAAAAATATGTACGTACCTAAAAATCTTTATAAAATATTAGAAAAAATATAAATTTTTTAATTCAATTTAGAAATTAAATTATAAACAAAGCTTAACTAATCTTGTAAATGATTTTCTAAAGTCAAAAAAATTATTGGAGTAATTTGCAAATTTAGTCAACAGTTTTATTTCCATTTTTTACCATACATTTTTGTGTATAAGCCAAGAATTTTTGGAACTCTCCCTAAAGTTAAATTACAGGGAATTTTCAATTATATATGGATTGGCTAATCTCACCAAAAATATACATACTTTTCTGTTGGCCAGGCGCAAGTATGTTTGCAAGCCCTCCTTTCTGCACTCTTGAATTTTATATTTACAGAGAAATGCCAATCAGCCATACTGTAACAATTTTCAGCAAATGCAATTACCTATAATTTGAATTTTGCCAGAAAAGAATTTCTCTTCTTATTTATTTTTCATATAAAAAATAAGGCTATGCAAATCACATACAAAACTACATATGAATACAAAAAATATTCTACATTCAGCAAGAGCTACCAGAGTGAAAACTGTAATCGTTGGTGCCTGGTGTTTTACTTTATAGTGATTTGATTGAAAAATATTCCACCTGTTTTACATGCTTGGCAATATTTTCGCCATAATAGTAACATGTTTGAACATTACAGGAATTTTTTTTCATTTAAGCTTGTAAAATGGGTTTTGAATTTTGGGTAAAATTTTAAAGAAAAAAACACTTGACTTATATATGGATCGCCTGATATTCAGAAATGCACGGTATTTATTTTGCACCAAATTTTCCACCTTTGGTTTTTATAATTTTGAGTCTATTAATAATTGATTCAACAAATTTTTAGCATGAATTTGGTAATTATTTTACTATGTTTCTTCAGGCTTATATTTTTCTGTACACTTCCATTAAAATTATTGCATTTGGTTAATTCTTGATGAATATAATTTCATAAATTTTTCAAGACACTGAGATCTCGAATTTGAATTAGGGTTTAAAAGATACTATGGAATTATATAGTGGTCATAACTGCTATATATAATAAATGCATATTGAATTATTGACCTAATATGCTTCAATTATGCAATATACAATACTTAGTTTTAAATGATTTGATATTCAAATCTATTTATACTGCAGTCATATTATACATTGCATATTATATATAACATACTATATTACAGTAAAAGCCCAACTACCAGACATTCAGCTAACCAGAAAGCTTAACCAGAGTATTTCAGAATTTTAAAACTCTTTCTTACCTCCCAAAAAAGTAAGCAAATGAAGGAATTCTCAAGCCATCATATAGCTTTGTTGCCAGTGCAATTTAGCATCAATAGTGGGTATATGCAATGCAATATAATACAATCATAAAATTATGTGTAATATGTATACGAGTCAGTTTTCCTTAGAAAGCCCTCCACAAAGGCATACCTCTCCTTAGGCAGATAGCCCTCGATGTTTTGCCATAATCACATAAACCAACCATTCATAAAATTTTCATCTGAGTTTTATTATAACCTTTAAGGTGGCATATGCCACCACTTAAACTAAAAATAAGCAACTCCTCCTCATCTGCATAGAAGGCTTGAACATTTCTTTTTGTGACTTCTTTATTGAATGGGCTGTCACTTAAGACACTACATAGATAGCTGATATTGAGAAAACTAAACTGTTATGTAATGTTAATTTAGAACATCATCCTAAAAAAATTAACATTTCTTTTACTAAAAATGTAGTTTGAATTTTTGCAAAAGCTAACTATTTTCGCACTCTCAAAGTGGATGGGTCATCAAACTGTAGCTACAACTACTTTTATTTCTAAACTACCTATAAACTGAAATGTACTGCATTGTGTGAAACATTTGTAACAGATAAATGTAAAACTGTGTAAAACTTTCAGCTTGATATTAAGATAATTTGAGAATTTCCCAAAATGTTAAGCAATGAAATATTTTCAAAGTTACAGGATCCTGGCATTGTGAAACACGTGTTAATGGGCAATTTATGAGATTTTATTTGAAAACGATAAACAATGGCATGAAAAAATGTGATCAACCATTTTAAACATTTTATATGTTATGTTGATTATATTATTAAATAAAATATGATTTGCTCCTTAATAATTCTGGCAGATTGGTAGCATCTTGACTAATTTTAATGGTTTAACCCTTTCCGGCACGCTACCCTTTTAAAGTCGGAGTTTTGATTAAAAAAAAAAAAGTAAGCAGTCTAATTAGGCCTAGAGAAATACACAAGTAAAATTTTGTGAAGATATAGCACTTATCGTTTTAATTCTGTGGGTGTGCCCAAAGTGGCATACTGATTGAATAGAGCTTGAAAAAGAGTGCTGAAAGGAGCACTGTTGTCAATGAACTGACCGATGAGATGCGGAGAAACAAAGAATACAGACTCTCAGTTGTCCTAGATTATCGGTGAGCCTGGTCTGGGCACACCTAGGATTTGCCGTTTGATTTTAGGCAAAATTTCAAGGTAAAAATTTAAAACTAATATAGAATAAGGAGATTAGTATACAGCCAAAAAAATAACATAGAAATTCCATTTCAAACAATTCCTTTTATAGGCTAAAAAAATCTGTAAGATTTCTTTGAAAAATGAGGGTCTTAAAAAACTATACATGGCTAAAATATATGGACTGGTTTGTGTTGAGCTGCTATCTACTATAAATAAGAAAAGAAGGTTCAGAGTAACCTATAAATCATTTTTCATTCAATTTTTCTGTGCGTACAGAAGGAAATTTTTAGGTGTGTCCAGACTGGACACACTGTGCCGCAAAGGGTTAATGAGCTTTCATAATCAGGTAAGGTGTTTTTATTTTAATGTTTTTAGGGCCTAACAAATAGGTTAGCCTTTATGCACTTTTTTCTTAGACTCTATAATTGACCGAACTATTGCAAAGAGCAATGTTGCCTGTTCCAGAATTAAAGCCCAAGAGCACTTGACATAAAGAAATCCGGACGTGGAGAAAATCTCAGATGAGAAAACAGAGAAAAGAGGAAGAAGAGAAGCGCTGAAAGGAGCAAGACAATCCAATCGGACAAGTTCGCAAAACCTGATGAGCGATCATAGCTTTTGAGGAGGACCCAAGACGATGCAAATCAATGACAACAATATGAGAAGATACACTATAGCAATAGTTCCAATGACAAATTCAAATACAACTAAACAACCTCAATCAATAGTGCTAAATACAACACAATACAATACAATTTTAATACAGCTATTCAACGCAATACACTACAGCAACTCAACAACAACCTAAGCAACCTATTTACAACACTACTATATCATCACAATGTGAAAAATCTCACAGCATTAGTTTTAGCAATCTCCAAGAATAATATTCAAGCTACAGAAGAACTTCAATCAAAATCAGATGCATTGGAAGTATAAACAGCTAACAATTGAGGAGCTAAGTGAAAAAGCTGTTGTCTCGTCCCATGAAAGTGTGAGCTGCAAGTGGTCTGATGCTTCTATCTTCGAAGAGAATTTCATAATTAAAGACTTGGGAGTAATTAACAAAGTCACATTGCACAGCTTTGTTGAAGAATTTTTCATTAGATCTTCTGATGTAATCTGGAATCATCTCAAGTTTTAAGTCTCTGTGTAAAAGTTTATTGCAGATAAGGTAGTGTGAATCAGTAATAATGCGCAGAAATTTGTTTTGCACTACTTGTAATTGATGCAGTTGAGTTTGAGTGACCATGTTCCAAGCAGGAGCAGCATAACAAAGTATTGGTCGAATGCAACTGGTATATATGTTTTTTGGTACGCAAGCTAAGATTTGAATATTTTCAGATGACCGGGAGAAATCTGCATATTATGCCTATGGCTCTGCTCTTGACACTATTAATCTCGTTAGACCATGCGAGCCTTTGGTTCAAAATAATTCCTAAGTATTTAGCCTTTGTGACCAGAGGAACAGCTTTCTGAAAAAGGTAGAGATCTTTAAAAGCAATGTTTTTCTTAGTTTTGCTAAGAATTAAAAGTTGTGACTTGCTAACATTGATTTTTAAGCACCAATTTGTGCACAAGTCTTCTACAGCATAGAGGTAATTTTGCATTTTGTCTATTGCATGATTAGCTTGGATGGATTTAATATCAATCGCCGTATCGTCGGCATAACATGCTAACAGAGAGTAATTGTCCAAACCAGGGTGAGAAAATCTGATATGTAGAAAAGATATAGCACTGGACCAAGAATACTTCCTTGTGGGATGCTGGATCTTATAGGTCTTGAATTGGATTTTTCATTTCCTTGAGCGATGAAGAAAGTGCAGTCCTGTAAAAAGGAGAAGATCAGAAGAATGAGTTCTCTAGGAAGTCCCAAATTGGTAAGCTTGAAGACGAGCCCCTCATGCCAGACGCAGTCAAAGGCTTTTGCCACGTCCAGCATAAGGAGCGCAACACTGTGCTTGTATGGAATGCAGATCCCACAAATTCTACAATTCTTACTAGTTGTCGAGTAGTACTGAGGTTTTTTCTGAATCCGTACTGATCATTAGGTAGCAGGTGAAGAAAAGGTTCCAATCTTGTGAGAATACATCTTTCATAAATTTTACCAAGGCTGGATAACAAACTGATTGGGCGATAGCCATCAGGCTTGGCCACATCTTTACCCGGTTTGGAAAGAAGAAAAATCTTGGCCTGCTTCCAAGGATCAGGGAAATAGTTGAGAGTAACATAAGCATTGAGAATACTAGCAAATTTACTGATAAGATTTCCAGGTAAGTTATGAAGCATTTTATTAGTAATTTGATCACTTCCAGGAGCTTTTTTGATGTTGAGATATCTAATAATATTAGTAATTTCCATAGGAGAAATAAGCCTTGGGATGTTATGAGCTGAAGAAGAATGAAGCCAGGAATACACATAGTTTTCCAGAACATCTTTAAAGGTCTGATTCATGGGCTCCATATTAGCAGTAAACTGCTTTTCCAGGTATTCAGCAAAAATATTAACTTTATCTTTAAGTGAGTAGGCAAATTTTAGTATCTGTATGAATAGATCTATTGTTAATAATACTTCTTTTAAGATTTTGAAGATACTTCCACAAAGTACCATCATTAATATTTAGATATAAAATCTTCTCTTGTTTCCTTTTTAAAATCAGTGATAAGCTTCTTGATTCTTCTATTAAAAATATTGATTTCTCTTTTAAGGGCAGGGTCCCAGTTATGGTGCCAAAGGCTTCAGAAATCGGTTTCTTTATTTGATAATGTCTTTGATACTGCGAGGAAGTCGAATATTATTGTTAGTTAATTGAATGGTAACTGTAGCATCTCTGAAAGCTTTCAGTATACTGTCAGTGAAGATTTGAATGGCAAGATCGATATCCTGTTTGGTAGAAAGTGAAGTAA